CTGTAGATAAATTTATATATAAGAGTTCACTGCTATAGCTCTCCTTTTTATAAACATGAATGGTTTTTCTTTGGGCTGGTTTCCCTTAAGCACTAGCAAGGGTCTTGATTTCATGGCTAAAGAATTTGTGCTGTGTTCTCTCAGTGCCTGGGTGAATTACTTCCTGGATTGCTTTATGTTCCCATAGCAACAGGATGCATGTGCACAGAGAAAACCAAAGAATGCAGAAATTTTCTACATATTTTCAAAAAAATTTAAATATTAAAAGTAAAATTTCTAACAGAAGTTTTAGAGAAGGGAAAGAGAAAAACCAGGAGATCCAAGGAACCGTTCAACTTGAAAAAATGCATCTTGATGACAAAAATCATTGCTATCACTTAGAGAGAGTATAAGGAGTCAGCAGGGAAGGAAGTGATCCAGGTCATGGTGGTCGGGAGACTCTTGCAGCCTGACTGACTAGCAGCCAGAGTGTGTCTTTATTTATACAGAAGTTAGTTAGCAGGGATACATTCATGATGTTCCAAAACATAGATCATTTCATTTTTGGTTTTGGACATGTGTTTCACTTCCTTTTGCTCATCTTTTAGTCATCATTAATAAACTATGACAGAAAAGAGTTATTATTTCCCATCATTTCCCTCAACTTTTCACATCATTAATAAACAGACTTATCATTCTTACTCACTAACCTCATAACCCAAGTTTTGAGAATCTAGAGGCATATGACAGCCTGTGCTCAGGCTGGTTGCTTTGGTTGCTTCAAGGACACTAAACTAAAACAAAAATGTTCAACCACCCTGGGCATTTTGCCATGTCTCAAGCAGTGTATTATTAACTCTTAGTGGTCAGACTGCCCAGGAAAATTCTTCAGACCAAAGATGCTGCAGTTACTACTCAAATTCTGACATAATACAATCAATGTTCACATGTATATCCTTATAAATTTGTCTCTATGTCTAATCCTGGCATTCTGTTGTTCCTTGGTTGTATGACATTATAGTGCCTCTACATGAGCTAACTTCTAAGAGAGGGAGGTCCTAACACCTCATACTTTTATCATCTTTCCACTCCATACTTTGCTCATCAATATGTCTCTGTGTAGGGCAGAGTTGTATGCCACATAACTGTCTGAGTGTCCAGTGGGAAGAGGCTTGTAATCTGAACTACAGACAATTCCTCTAGCCCATCAAATCTTGTTGATCTTTTTAATTTTATTTTGTTTTGAATATCTTGTTCCTGTGTAAGTACAGGGACAGATGTTTCAAGTATGTCTCATAGCCTCATGAAGAGACCTCTGGCAGACTGCTGTTATCTGGTAGCCAGCAAAATGCCCACCCTGACAGCCTTGTGGAGAGGCCCAGGTACACTGGAGTTGGCCCAGGTACATTGGTGGGCTACAATCCCTCCTACACGGGAGCAGGCTATCTGCCTAATTGCTTCCGTGTTCCCAGCATAAGTCCTCTGTCCACAGGAACACATCTAGCACTAAAAAGGCCAACCTCAGAGGCCCACAGGGATCCCAACTCAGTAATAGGAGGTATAATGGCAGTATAGAACCGTTCAAACAGGCAGGAAGACCAGGAAGTGTGCACAGGACAGAGCCTCAGAGTTAAATTAGAAAGTAGACATGCCAGAAATAAAACCAGAAGGAACAAAGGTGGACCAAGCAACACTGTTTGGTGACAACTAAAATGGAATATGAGGTCGGAGAAGGGCACTGTTGGGCTCCTGCAAAGTCAGAAAGGTGGTGGGCAGCGTCTGAGCAGAGAAGCAGCAGAGTCAGGGTGGCATTTTGGAAAGATCAACCTGGACTGCACTTGTGAGAGCATGATATTCATGCTCTGTAAAATCATCTAGCCTCAGGTCAGACTTTGGCCTATGGAGTAAATTCTCCAATGAAGGATATCAAGGCCCTTCCCAGCTTTTTATTTAGACATAATTCTGCAGTGAGTATCACAGCCAAATCAACACACACTAAGTCATTATAACCAATTTCTACTAGTAAGCATTCTTCATTCTCCATGGGTGTCACTGAAGAAGTTGAATGTTCTTACCACCCCACCAGGGGACTATCTGAGTGCTTGTTATGCCAGCCTAAGCTTGCATCCAGGAAGAACAGGTCCCTCTCGGAGAGCACCAGGAGAGTTTATGTGGTCAACTGTCTACACAACAGAACCATTTTTACTGGTCTTTGAGCCCCACAAAGGCACATTTAGGGTCCTGGAGATTTTACAAGGGCCCAGGTTTCCTTCTGTACACTGGACCCTGGTTAGCCAGGCTGCTTTACATGAGAAATCCCCACCACTGTCCTGCAGCCTGCCTCACTTCTGTACTGATGCACAGTGCGTCATGCTCACAGCATGCTCTCATCTGCTGCAGTCTTCTGACTTCTCAGTGGCCTCTTTCCTGTGCACTGCTGGGTACCCCAGCTCCAACCTCTTTCTTGGGGCTCATAATGATTTTATTTGTTTTTCCGGACAGGATTTCTCTGTGGAGTTTTGGTGCCTATCCTGGATCTCGCTCTGTAGACCAGAATGGCCTCAAACACACAGAGATCTCCCTCACTCTTCTTCTCCAGTGCTGAGATTAAAGGCATGTGCCACCATGGCCTGGCGAGGTCCATAATTGGTACATATTTCTCCCCAACCTCGACTCCTTTCCACTGGAAAATTGGCCCAGTTTGTCTCCAGACCATCTCCTGGCCATACCTCTACCATCACTTTCAGAGTTACCCTTCCCTGGAGCTCACTTCAGCCACCCCACCCTCTCCTTCCTCAGGATACTGTCCTTCTAGATGTCGTCCCACCCAGCTCCCAGTCCTGGGCTCGCTCTAAATCAACCCTTGTCTCTCTCGACCATGTGTCTCTTACAAACAGCAGGAAGAGTCCTTACTGAGTCCCTGTAGGATGAGACCTAATGCAGGGAGAGGAACTATGGCCTGGATACAGCAAGAACGCTCCAGGGCCTGTTGCTAGGATACAGCATACCAGAGGGGTTAAGCAAGAACACTCCAAAGTGATGTGGCTGGTTGAAAGACTGAAGGGATGATCCCTGACCTGTCCACTCCTTTCCTGGTTCAGAGAGGGCCTGACTCGTCATTATTTATACACGAGACACCAGTATACACACAAAAAAGAGAGAGGGAGAGAGGGGAGAGAGAGAGAGAATCAGAGAGGGAGAGAGAGAGAGAGAGAGAGAGAGAGACAGAGACAGAGACAGAGACAGAGACAGAGAGACAGAGAAAGACAGAGACACAGAGAGAGAGAGAGAACAGCTGAGAACAGATGAGCCAGGTGGAAGCCTCTGACTTTCCTGCCAAAGACATGATTATCACTTGATGGCTTGAAAGATCAGGCCATGGAGTGCTGAGCAGAGAAAGAACACAGTGAGCTATGACTAAGTGGGCAGTGCGGGGTCAGTGTATCCTGTCCTATGAGCCACAAAGGCCTTGTGGGAGAGCCAACCTGGGCACAGCTGGTTCATGGAATGTCACGTGTCTAAGAAAGCCTCCCATTTCGGTGTTTCAGGGAAGCCTTTCACAATGACCCAGGAGACAAGGAGAAGAGGAAGGACAGTTGCAGCTGCTTCTTGGTGACTGTGAGAAGAAAGAGAGCTGAGGATAATTAAAAGCACCTGGGACAGCTGAAATGTCAGAGGACACAAGACCATGTAGTGGCTAATGGCGACAAGACAGTCAAGGCCCACAACTCACAAAGCCCTAGTCAGGGATGGATAAAGGGGCCTGTGGTGGGAGGGGGTTGAGCCACCCCTGACTAGGTTGGCAATGGGTGAACAGAGCATGATCATCTCCTTGGTGTGGGCTAGACCATGTGGACCGTGGGCCCTCCATGTCTCAGCCTATGTTATCCCAGAGAACTAACCCATCTCCTAACAATTACCTCAGCCATTGTCCAGACTCTGCATGATCCTATTAAAAACAAAAACCACGAAATGACAGAGCTCAGTGGCTCTTTTAAATTTTGGGAATGTCACCTACTCTAGGGAGTCTCTCTAACTTTTCCTCAGTTCGCCCCTTCCTGCAATGATTCTTTGTAGAGCTTGCATCCAGAATTGCTTACTCCTCCTGTCTTTAACCTTCACAGCTGTGAGACAGGTTTGGAGCCAGTACCCAGGGTTGATCTTTGATGCCCTCAGGTGTCTGGGTCACCCTAGGACCTTGGTCAAGCACAGCTAGGTAGAGAAAGGTCTCCATCAGAATGAGCTTGTGAACACCGGTGGAATTCAGCCCTGTTGCGAGCACAGTCTCTCAGGAGGATCTTGCCCTGGCCTACCCACATAGTTGCCATCATACAGGGCTCTTCAAGGCAGCACAACCAAGATTGGGGCATTTTGTTTGAAGGACATTTCCATAATTTAATAAAGTGATTTAGCTGGGCTCAAGGGCCTGCTGAGTTTGAAAAGGTCTTTTGGTTACTCCCTATGACTGAATTCGGACAGTCCAGCATTACCCAAAACTAGAGGTGTCAGCTAAGGAGCAAACCAGAGCCACAGGTTCCGCACCCCCACCGCACACACTCACTGCAGTTTTTAAATACTCCCTGCTCTTTGCAGCTATAAAGTGCTTCAGGCTAAGCACCTCAGAGGACAAGCCCACAGCCACTGAGGCTGTGCAGGCCAGAATGTGTGATTGGACACATTGTAATTACGTTGAGTCTCCAGAAGACAAGCCTTCCGGGTTAAGAGTCACAGCTGTACCTCTGGCGTCAGACTGTGAGGACACGGCTTTTAAGTCTTCAGAACTCAGGTCTGATTGAAAGATTCCTGGCATGGAGTCTTGCCAGTGCTGCTGCCACATTTTCACCAGGATGCTGTGTCTAGGAGCTAATGAAGACCAGGAACAACAGCATGGTCAGTAAAATGGTTCTGACTCTACTTGAGGGAAGTCCGGGAAGCAAATTTGGTGGAAAGGCCAGTGGCCAGGCACTTTGATTACCCGGCTCTGCCTGTGGGCCCTCTACAGGCTTTCCAATGATCGATCCATGGGCCATGATGCTCAGATCTTTATCTTTGTGTTTTTCTCACTTGCAGGTGAGAATGAAATAGTCCCGAAGGCTGAAGAGGAAGGAGGAAAGAAAGGGCTTGTACAGAGCGAGCTTGCTCAGGGTGAGCTTGATCAGGGCGAACTTGCTCTGGGCGAACTTGCCCCAAGCAAGCCTGCTCAAGAAGAGCTTGCTCAGTCCAGTCTTACTCAGGAAGCCACAGGAGTGGTAGAGGAGGGAGAAAACGAAGAAGAAGAAATGAAAGGAGGTCATGCTGGAGATGGTAGTTCTGGCCCCATGGACAAGGGGATCCAGGCGGAAGGTGGCCATGGCAGAAGTGTTCAACAGCAGCCTCAGCAAGAGGCTGCAATGCCTGAGGGCACCAAGAATCTCCAGGCTCGGGACAGGCAGCCTTTCAGGAGACGCACCAGATTCACCCAGTCTCAGCTGCAGGACCTGGAGCGTCTTTTCGAAGAGACTCGCTTCCCCAGCTTTCAAGTAAGGTAAGCAGAAGGCCTGTTAGGCGCCTGGTTTTCTATCAGTGCATCCAGGCTGTCCTTTGGTGCTCCCTGACCCCTGATTTCCTCTACAAACAAAGTCACCATGTCTGGACCCTCCAGCAGAAAATGGATTCTGGAGTAAGCAGATGTGCCCTAGTCCAACTGGAAAGATTGTGTTTTATTGCCTGTTTAATTGACACGTGAGTGGGAAATTTAGACAATGCTTGTTCTAAATAAGTCTCTGTAAGTATGAGTGAGAAACCTGAGTTGTGGCTGGGAAAATGCAGGAGGGATTCCACCTCAGATTAAAATTTGACTAACACATTTCATCGTGGAGGCTCTGTTAATGAAGCTTTACATGTTAAGTACATAGACCACATACCTGTGTTTGGGGGATTACCCTTAATTTTGGTCCCTGAAAGAAACCTGTTACTGAAGTAAGTCTCAAAGTAGGTGTGAGGAATACTGTGTGTGTGTCTGTGAGAGTGTGTGCATGTGTTTGTGTATGTGTCTGCGTGTGTGTGTGTGTGTGTGTGTGTGTGTGTGTGTGTGTGTGTATGTACACATGTCCACACACACAAGTGTGGACACAAACATTTAAAAGCAAACAGGACATGTCTTTATACAGATTATTTCCACTACAAGGCCTGAATGTTGGAATCTTTTCACTTCAGGAAGGATCTTGCAATATCAATGGGTGTGCCGGAAGCAGATGTGCAGGTCAGTATTTTTTAAAAAATTAATGTTTTGGAAGGGCTCCACATCTTGTGATGGTGCTGTCTAGAAGAGAGGTGTAGCAGCAAATTGGGACCTGATGTTGCATCCCAAGGATGCCAGACCCAGTCCACAGCCAAACTAGGCTCAAGATGATGAAACACCTCCATTTTCTCAGGCAGAAAATGCCAACCTGGACACCTGAAACCTAAGATGCCAAGGTGCTTTGTCTGACCCTCAGTGAACATAGTGTGTTCTCCATGACCTTCTGAAGGCCGTGCAGCCCACATGCCTCACTTAAGTGAAGAGACCATGTTCTTGGGTCCACCTTCAATTCTTTCACTCTGTGTGTCTCAGAAAACCTTTTCTCAGACTTCTTGATCTAGTCTGTAAATGTCCCATGCCTGGCTTAGTTCTGAATCAATACTGGGACCAGGAACCTCAAACGACCCATAACCCTTTTACCAGGCTTTTGTTGGTTATGTATGTGAACTCTGCTCACCATTACAATCAGCCCTGACTTTTCCAGACCACATGCCCACAAGGGAAAAGACCTATACACAGTATGCTTGGAGGCTAGGGAGGAAGCATAGAGCAGGAAGAAGTGCCCTTTGTCTCATAAAATATGCATTCTGGATACTCACAAAAGGCTATCACCATGGAGCCTTTTACAGAAAGCTTTGGGCCTTGAGATAGTACTCCGGGGTTCCAAGAGAACTGTTTTTGATACTTTTCAACACACAGCAAGGACTGGGAACAACCCATGAGCTAGATCTGCATGCTTTCCTGAAAGAATGCGTTAAAAGTATCAATTGATGGAGAGAATAGACTATATTCTGGGTCTGTTCCATAGCAGAAGGACTGGGTGTGGGGGTACATATCCTCAGGGGCTTCATGGGGGTGTTTTGACTGTTTCAATGAGAATGAAACCTGTTGCTTCCAGCATTCTGAACAATCAGTACACACTTGAGGTAAGACTTCAACCGTTCTTGGGGTTAGATCGATAATCAAACAGTTTCTGGGCAAACAGAAATGTGGTGCTTTGCTAGGGGAGTAGCTCTGTCCTGGAGCACATACCTAGCACATACTGGCCCAGGGATGGGTTCCATAGATGTTCTAAAATGCTAGTAAAATTGAGCCAGTATACGTGGTTAAAGGATATGTTCTTCAGTGGTGGTACAGTTCAGTGTACTAAAGCAACCCTTTCTTCTGCTTGTAGGATTGGTTTAGGGCCAGGAGAGCCATTTTCAGAAGCAATAGAAAGGTGGTGCTGATTGATGCACCACCTGGTCCCCAGAACAACGATTCCTGAAGATTTTGGAGCTGCTCATGTGTGCCCTCTTTCCAAAGAGAGATGACCTGGAACCTGTCCCTGCCCCCAATGTCTCGACCACCCATGGTGGCCATGACGTCATTTTCTTCCCTGCAATTATATCAGCACTAAAGAGGTGGATTCTAAGTATGTTGGTTCCATTGTTTTTTAGGTTACTAAAATGTGGGTATAAGTATTTGAACCATAGTAGCCTACTCCAGAAATGGCATTTATGGCAGGAGGTGACACTGGCAAGCTGTGGTCACTGTGCCTTGCTGAGTGAGGAAGATTTCCAGGTGCTATGCTGCTTCATGCTGACCCCACATTATTCTCTGTACCCTCATCATGGGCTTGTCAACTCACTCCACCTCTGTGGAACAATTATTTATAATGCCAGCTGGGGGAAGTCTCCAGCAGAGGACACTGTGTTTCTAGTCATGGCTGTTCCCACCCACACTCCAGTAAGTCCCACCCTAGACCTAATCCCCAAGGGGTCATGGTGGGGAATCACACAGGGAGAAGCAGAGATAGACAGAGAGATGGGTTCACTGGGGCCCTGGAGGCATCAGGAGGAAGGGTCCTGAGGCTCCACATTGGATGTTCCAGCAAGCCATGACTTTCCTGAGTTCTATTCAGGCCCTGGCCACCAATCTTCCAGGTACAGAGTGTTATCTGGTGACATGCTCCAGTTCCTGGCTGCCACATCCAGTGGCTTCAGTCTTCTCACTGTGGCTGATGTTCCATGAACGGAACCTGTGGGTGGCATCCTGTGCCTCAGCTGACTGTGGATTCTCATTCTGTGCTCCCCGGTTATGTGGAACTGAGATGTGCTGTTGACACTCTTCCTGGGGAGACGGGAGAAACTGGGAACAAACATCTTCTAAGCCTAGTTGGAGCTATCAAGCCTTTTACTTCCTGTGTCTTAACCATCTCTCCCTTATTATGATATGTTTCGCCTCCATTTGGAATGTCTTTTGTCTTCAGGAGCTTTCCTCCAAATGGAATGTCTTATTTTGGAGGAAACGGCTACACAAAATGTGTATCCAGCTACAGGGCCAGATCCTGTGGAGGCATGCTCTAGGTGACCACATGTCTGGCTCAGTTTCTGACTGGACTTCCTATCAATTAGAAGAGGCTCCACTTTTCTGTAGCTTACATTGCTGTGCAAGGGACCGTGTGTCTGTGAGAAGGCACCTTCATAAAACATGGACGGAGACTGTGGGGAGACCAGGTAAATGTGTGAAAAGGGATCTGTGTTTCTATTGGCTGACTACACATGACTGGCTGGCATCTGTGTCTAAGGGTAAGCGTTTTCGTTGATACTTTAAGAGAAAAGACTTTCTGCTGTTCATTGAGGACATTTTGTAAACATCCTTTCACTCAGATATCACAAATCCATATACAACTTCCTCCTGAAATCACGGGCCTCGGGTTCTATGACTTCCCTTGTGTAGTAGGACTTATTAAAGTCAGAGCCCCCACTTCAGGGACTCTGAAATCCCTGTCTTACTGCTGGGTTTACCACGCTCTTGAAGAACTTTCCACCCACAGAGAGCACTGTGAGCATAACCACCATGCAGCGTCAATCCTTACCTTCTGGATCTTTCTCTCAAGTCCTTTCAGTCCATAGTAGCAGTGCTCTATGTCTTCCCTTCAGTGAAAGGCTGGATATTTTCTCCAAAACAATGAGCTGTTTGATTTAGCTAATATCCAGCATTATTTGACACGGTTTTCCTATTTCTAGGCATGGTGTTCACATTTATAGGTTGAGATGTTTGCCCTACAATATAATTAGAATTCCTGGGGGCTGTCCAGCCATGCTGCAGCTCTATGCACAGCTAAGCCTCCAGTTCTAATACTTCTTTTTTATAATTAGTTAATTAACCAAAAGCCAGACATTTCTATGCACTCCTGTGACCAGTGGGAGGGTATAACACTAGGAAGTACAGCACTAGTCATTCTGAAGTACACAGTATGGGACATGTGAGGTTCAGGCTTCCCTGGGATACATGAGAGACTGTCACAAACACAAAACGAAGAAACAAACCAAAGGACAATACTGCATTTTCATTCTCAGGTCCTATTAACACCCCACTGTAGTTGGAGTTTTCTCTCAGGCGCCCACTTGCCAGGCAGCCCGGCAGCCCACTTACAAAATAAACACACAGATGTTTATGTTATTTAATTGTTTGGCCTAATGGCTCAGGCTTCTTGTTATCTAGTTATTATATCTCAAATTAACCCATATCTATTAGTCTATAAGTTGCCACATGACTCGTGGCATACAGGTACCTTACATCTCGCTTTCCATGGCGGCAGCTGGTGGCGTCTCTCTGACTCAGCCTTCCTGTTCCCAGAATTCTCCTCTCTCCTTGTCCCGCCTTTACTTCTTGCCTGGCTACTGGCCAATCAGTGTTTTATTTATTAACCAATCAGAGCAACACATTTAACATACAGAACATCCCACAGCACCCCACCCCAACCCCAGCACTCTGAAACACTGTCAATGAGATCAGTCGCTCTACCACAAGAAGTGCACACAACCTCTCCCCTGTTTATGGCCTTCCAGAGTCTGTGGCACTGACTCTGCCCAGGTTATTGTACAAATGCACCCTCAGCCCTCAGCAGTTTGTACTGCAACACAAAGGGTGCAGTTGGTGCAGTGTCTGAAATTGCAGAGCTGAGAAGCACAGCACAGGACCTTCTATAAGCATTCTAATGCAGATTCTTCACTGGCTGTCTGGAGTTTGTTAACTTTTGCAAGAGTTGCACTGGAATTTTCGAAGTGCTGCACAACACACTGTAAACATAGGACTAAAATGCCACTGCTGAAGGTGGAGGTCCGGGATTGGCCTCTGCTTTCAGAGTCCTTGAAGACTTTTGAAGCAGACACATGCAGAGCTGACCCTGTCTACACAATGTTTATCTCATGTGTCATAGAGACTCGGAAATGTGGGGTCTGGAATGTTGAGAAATTTTCCAGTCTTCACCCAAGCCTCATGTGCTCATTGTGAGTTTTTCCCACCTTCCCCAAGAGATATGGTCCACACATTTCCACAAGGCCTCAAAATTATTGTTTTTTTTTCTTACTCACTGCAGATTTGTTCCCATAGTTGACCCCCACCCATTTCCTAGGAAGATAATTCCCCAAGGCCAGGGGACTCAGTTGAGATGCCACTTGGAAGGTTCCTTCTACACTCTCCTTGCCCAAGGGCCACACCTTCCCTGTAAACACATCCTGCTCACTGAAGCTCCAAACCGCTGTGAGGGGGGAGACACTGCCAGCCGCAGCCAGGGCAAGCAGCATGTTAAGATGCCGGTAAGCCACGAGCCATGTGGCAAGGTATAGATTTATAGAAATGGGTTAATTTAAGATATAAGAACAGTTAGCAAGAAGCCTGCCACGGCCAAATAGTTTAAATAATATAGGCATCTGTGTGTTTATTTTATACGTGGGCTGTCAGACTGCCGGGGCATGTCAGGACCCAGAGAGAAAACTCCAGCTACACAGCTGTTGGTTTTGGACCTCAGGGGCTCAGTCCATTGCAACTGTCAATCATCCCAGGAAGCCAGAAAGGAAGGCTTCTGATTGGTTAAAATAACCTGGATGTTAGGTCGTTAAGGTATAGAAGAGAAAGAAGCCTTCCTGGTGGAGTAGTTCTCCTGCCAGAAGTATATGGGTCTCCCCCTCAGAATGTGAAGAGACACAAAGGAAGGCAAACCTTGAGGATCTTCAACAGCATTCCTGTCATGGAGCGTGGAAACATCAAACATCTGCCTCTTGAGGGACCTGACTAGGAAAAAAGGAAAGGTCAGTGCATGCTAGGAGTGGTGGGTTGGCCATGTCCATGAGGAGATATTGTTTCTCAGAGGTGACTGGAGAGGCGTGGGGCACTGTGGACTTCACATCCTGGATGTCATAGCGACTTTGCACCACCCTGGTCCCTGTCGCCTCTTCTTTCTGTTTTCTACTTTCAGGTGCTGAGACGCTGATGCTCTCCCCATATGAAGAGGGAAGAAATGAGGAAGAGGGTGGAAGGGACCACCCTGCGTCGGGACCTCAACAGCAGAATGGAGAGGAGTAGAACAGAAAAACAGGGAAGACTGGAGAAGGTCCTTCTGCTGCTGTACCTTCAGGCCTCATGGATGACCGTGAGAGTGCCAGTCCCAATAGCCAGGAGAATGAGCGTCCACCTCAGAAGCCAGTTCCTGAGAGCATAGGGGGTACCGAGGGTGTGCAGCTTTGTGATCTGTATACAGCATATGTCACATCTGGTGCCTCCAGTACAGTGTATGTCAGTAACAGTGCCTGGTGTACAGCCTCTGCCTGTTACTGTGCGCCAGGTACAGCCTATGTCTGTGACTGTGTCCCAAGTACAGCCTGTGCTTGTTACTGTGCCCCAGCTATAACCTATGCCAATCACTGTGCCCAATGTACAGACCCTATTCCTGTTACTATGCCCCAGGTACAGCCTATGCCTGTGACTGTGCCACAGGTCCAGCCTGTGCCTGTTACTGTGCACCATATACAGCCTGTGTCTGTTACTGTGCCCCAGTTACAGTCTATGCCAATCACTGTGTCCAATGTACAGACCCTATGACTGTTACTATGCCCCATATACAGCCTGTGCCTGTTACTGTTCCATATACAGCCTGTGCCTGTTATTGTCCGAGGTACAGTCTGTGCCTGTTACTGTGCACCGTGTACAGCCTGTGCCTGTTACTGTCCCATATACAGTCTATGCCTGTTAATGTGACCCAGTTACTGCCTATGCCAATCACTGAGCCTCGGGTACAGCCTATGCCTGTTACTGTGCCCCAGGTACTGCCTGTGTCAATCACTGAGGTCCAGATACAGCCTATGCCTGTTTCTGTTCCCCATGTCTGTCCCATGCCAGTTATTATGTCCAATGTACAGCCTATGCCAGTTATCTAGCACACCACCTATGGCAGTTCCTATTGCACACCCTATGCCATTCCAGGTGGGTTGTGTACAGCCATACCAATTACAGTACCCAGTGTTCAGTCTATGCCAAGTACAATGTCACCCAATGAGCAGCCTGTGCCATTACAGGACCCCATGTCCAGCCTGTGTCAGTTCTGACGCCCAGTGCACAGTCCATTCCAGTTACCGTGCCCAAAATGCAGCCTATGCCAGCGCTGGGGTCCTGCAGCTGCCTCTGTGACAGGGCTACACTGCAGGAGTTGGAACACCTTTTCCAGAGAAATCACGATCTAGTGCTGAGGAAGGGTAAGCCCCTTGTGTGGCTTCAAGTCCCTTCATAGGGAACAAGCTGGTACAGAGAGGCCTCTGGCTTGCTCTCAGCTGTCCTTCTTGTCGTCATTTACTGAAAAGTTCAGATTCCATTTTGAAGTTTGTTTTTTTTTTTCTTTTTTTCTTTTTTTTTTTTTTTTTTTTTTTTTTTTTTTTTTTTTTTTTTTTTGGTTTTTCGAGACAGGGTTTCTCTGTGTAGCTTTGCGCCTTTCCTGGATCTCGCGCTGTAGCCCAGGCTGGCCTCGAACTCACAGAGATCCGCCTGCCTCTGCCTCCCGAGTGCTGGGATTAAAGGCGTGTGCCACCACCGCCCGGCCCATTTTGAAGTTTTATTGTGTCTTGGCATGAGTGTGTGGGGGGACGAGAGGAGCTGTGTCTCACATTTGGAGGTCAGAGGACAGCTGGAAGGACTTGGTTCTCTCCTTCCAGGATATGGGTCCTGGGTTCAAAATCATCTCCTCAGGCTGGCTGGCAGGCATGTTCATCTGCTGAGCCATTTTGTCTGCCTCCATTTTGCCCTCCAGAACCAAAGCCACCCACACATTCCAGCCTGCAAGACCCCGGCCTTGCTGTCCTAGGCTTCCAAAAGGGAGTGGGAGCTCTATAAACTGAGAGTGGAGGTATTCTCATGTAGTATTTAGGTGGAACAAGTAGAAATGTTTAGCGGGGCAAGCCTGAGGTGTGGTTGGGATAATTCAGGTACCACACTGCCTTTGTTTATAATGTTGATACATTTGTATCCCCCCTCCCTCCTCCTCTCCTCACATAGCTCAGTCTGGTCACATCCACTCTGGACTCTCCCAGATGTCCCCGCCTCTGGTTATGCTCTCCCACAAAACTATTATAGACTTTTCTTCCACCATACTAGGTGCAAGTCATGTTCCTACTTCTTTATGTCTTTTTTTACATTCAGTATTTATACCAATATCTATATACAAGTGCATTGCATTCCAGTCCTTTAATGTTGGCATCCTTAGGGTAGGTTTTCTCTGTGGAGTAGTCCTGGGGTTATGACCAATAAAGGATTCAAATTAGTGTAGCTGGGGATTCCATGATCCTAAACTGTTTGAAATACTGCAAAGTAAGCATAGATTCTATCCTTACAGGAGTAATATGGGTGTGTGGATAGTGGACAGGCAGAACCCAGCACTGATAATGTTGACGTAAGCTTGGTTAAACAGAGACTGATGGAAATGGGAAAGCATAGAGTCCAAATGCCTGGTCCCTCTGCTGTTTTGAAGCATCTGGTGAGGCCACACAGATAAGGACACCCAGCTTTGTAATTATCTGAAGCACGCTGGTGCATCTGCCTGAAAATCCTGCTGACTTCCTCCATAGTGAATTACTGTGGGGAGGCCGGAAGGGCATGCAACGTTTGGACAATTGTCCAAGGACTGTTGTGCAGTACTGGGGTGGACACCGGGTCTCGACATTCTAGGCAAGCACTGGACTCTGTTCCAGCCCCTCAGCCCCACACAGCATTAGAGTAGTGAGACAGCAGGTTCTTCTGTGCAATCTAAATTATAGAGAGCAGCTAATGTCACACGAGGTTTTTTCTGATTATATCCTGATTACCCTACTGAACAAATCCCTCTTCCCTCTCATTGCAGAGATGGTTCAGGAAGAGGAGAGAACAGATCTGGTGAGGGAAGAATCTGCCAGGACTTAGCAGTGCTGCTCCTGGGACTCGCTCCACCTCAATCTAAAGATGGTGCAGGAGCCCCAGTGTACCCGCCTTGACCAGGATCCACTTGCAGATGCATTTTTGCCTTCCGCCAACATGTTGTTACATCTTTATTCTCTAAGAACCTGTATTTGAAATAAATAGCTTTTCAATTTGTTTCTTCATGTGTCTTCTGCATTAGTATGTTATGTATGACAGTTATCAATGAAATGTCATTAAAAGAAATGACAAGGTCTCCTTCTGTGGGGCGACATCACTGAGTGAGCATCAGTAGCCTTTTATGTCATGGGAGTTTGTCAAGTGGTGTTTACATTGACCCATAAATTGTCCTGTCCTCCATCATAGTGTTTTCATCCTCACCCTGACCACGTTGTATCACACATGGGCAAGAGGAACATTGAAAATCTCTAGGGAGATGGTGTTTATCTAGACAGAGCTGGTTCTGACCATACCTGGGATTTCATACCAACCATAGAATCTGAGAGAACCATTTTTGTTTGTTTCTTTTTAAATTGTTTTGGTTTTGGTTTTCTTTTTCCAGTGGACAAAGTGTCTGTTGTGGTGACAAGAATGTTTGTCGAGTAGACAGAAGCTAGATGCATCTGGAAAGACGGAATCTCCATTGGAAAATGGCTCCATCCTGTAAGCCAGTCTGAGGAGCGTTTTCTTGATTAGTGATTGATATGGAGAGGTCCCTCCAACTGTGGGTGGAGCCACCCCAGAGCAGGTCATCCTGGAGTGTATTAGAAAGCAGGCTGAAGAAGCCAAGAGGAGCAAGCCGGTAAGCAACATCTCTACACAGCCTCTGCCTCAGTTCCTGCCTCCAGTTCCTACCCTGACTTCTCTCAATGATAGACTGTAAGCTCTGAGAGGAAATAAACCCTTTCCTCCCCAGTTTGCTTTAGTTCCTGTGTTTTATTGCAGAAGCAGAAAGCCAACTAAAGCCAACTCAAAAAATGGACTGATAGAACCTCTCTTCCCTCACTTTCTCCCAAGTCTCCTCCTTCCAACTCCTCCCAGGCCTTCCCCCACTACTCTCACATTAATTGTCTCTTTTCAATTATTCTTCCTTCGTATAGACATATGTGTATGAATAAGTGTGTGAATATGGCCTGCTGAGTCTGCTTTAGTTGTTTGTGTGTATGTGATTTCAGGGCTGCTCCTTTGCCTTGACTAACCACTTAGAGGTCTCATCCCTGGGAGAGGTCAATTCCCCTCTCTCTCTGTACTCACTAGCTGCCCACAGTTCTCTGTCTAGGAACAAAATAATTGAGTCTGTACCCCATTGCACCCTTGATAAATTAATACTAGACCTCTGTGGATTGTCACACAAACAGAATATAACCCCTCTGTCATTTTTAAACTGCCTGAAAGATTTTGCTGGGCTATATAATCTTAAGGGAAAGAATAAAGGTAGAGTTAAAATGCATTAGAAGGAAAACCTCAGAATGAGAGTAGGAAATCATCAGGTAAATAAAGAATAGAGACTGCAAAAGAAGAATAAAGAAAGGTCTGAAGGAAACAGTCAAGAATGTGTATGAGTCTTTTTCCCTAACCCCCTCAGATAAAAAGTCATAGTTCCCAGTAGGAGGCACTCACTCTGGATTCCCTTTGAGCCCTGCCCTGTTGGAGGCTCGTCCCCCAGGCAATGGTAGTGTCTTCCCTTTCCTTCTGGCTCCTACATTCTTTCCAACTCCTCTTGCACAGGATTCCCTGAGCCCCGAGGGGAATGATTTGATAGGCACATCTCATTGAGGATTGAATGTCCCATGGTCTCTCACTTCCTGCAGATTGTACAGCTGTGAGTTTCTGTATTTATTTTCATTTGCTGCAGGAGGAAGCTTATCTGATGGTGACTCATCAAGACAATGATCTATGGCTATAAGAGAATGTTTTTAGGAGTTATTTTTGCTTTAGCGGAACAGAAGTCTTTGGTTTTCTGATAGGTTCCTGTCCATTCTGGTCTCAGGATCTTGGTGGTCTGCACAGTGTTGGGGATAGGTCCATCTCATGGAGTGGGGCCTTAAATCTAATCAGTAATTGGTTGGTTACTCTTACAGGTCTTTTACCACTATTGCATTAGCACAGGTCATCATTGTGTATGAAAGGTTTTGTAGCTAGGTTAGTGTTTACCTGTAGTGTGCAGAGTACCTGCCACTACCATGAGCACTAGTCAGTAGTGGTGAAGGCTCTAGACAGGCCCCAGTTCAATTTCTCCATGTTATAACTCTGTGAGTTATATGGGTGTGGTCTTCACAATAGAGCCTCACCATCAGTTTGTAGAGAGCAATCAATGACCTTGGCAGGAGCCTAGGTTGTGTGAGTGTTGCCATAAGGCCCCTTTGGCCAACAACTCAATTAGATGTAACCCTTTCCAGAACTGGAGGCTACATTTTGGTGATGAGAAGTACTCAGTTGAGGCTCTGTCTCTCCCATTGTTTGGGGAGTTTTATTTTGATCTCCTTCATATGTGTATCTATTTGTGGAAGTCTCTACTGTATCAGAGTTCCATACAACCTTCAAATAGCCCCTTAATTTTAGCTGTACCTTCCCATACTACCTCTCTCATTGTACTCTTCCCTTTCCCTCCCATTTAAAATGACATATTAAACATTCTTTGACAATTTCGTATTTGTAGATAATGTGTTCTGATTACTCTCAGCTCTTGAATTCTTTGATCAGTCCTGCCCCATCTTTCCCACTTAACCCTCACCTGAAATCCCGTTTCCACATTCACATCTTTTTTTTCATGATCCACTGAGTTTCACCAGCCTGTCTGTGTGACCATGGATTTGGTACTACCCTTTGGAGCTCAGTGACCTCACCAGTAGGTGTACAACTGAAGATAATGATTGCCCTCCCCCAGAACCTATCAGTAGCCCTAAGGTCAGTAGGACATGTCAGTGCGCTGTGAGCTCCTTCCATATCCATGATTTACTTCTGGCAGCTCTAGTCTTGTATAAAACTAGTACAAACCGTCCTGACTGCTCTGAGTTCCTGATTGCAATGCCTATATCATGCCCAGAAAAGTGTATTTTTCAGCTTTTCTCCCCATTTTGCATCTCTTGCATTCTTTCTATCCTCTCCTTTTGGGTATTCCCTGAACCTTAGAGGGGTGATACGAATGTTCTGTATAGAGCTAAGAATTCAATTATCAGTTGTATGAGCTTTGAGTCTATGTCTTAACTGTTTCCAATGCAAACAGAAGCTCCTTGATGAAGGCTGAGAGCAGCACTAATGTATGAATAGGAACATAGGTATTTAGAAAGCAGGTTAGTGCCATGTCAACTTAGCTACAGAAAGAGTTGTAAGTTACTTTTTGGGCCTAAGACTTCTTCAAATGTCTTGTTTCCTGGTTTTACAGTACTGTGTATGAATTCCCTCCTGTAAAGCAGGCCTGAAACTCTACCAGAGAATAGTTGTTTACCCCTATAACTTTGATGTTACTGTAGTACAAGTGGGCACATCTTGTCTAGCATGTTGGAATTGTAGTTCCTAATGCCTTTTCTACTCCAGCAGACTGCATAGCACCTTCTAACACAATGGAAGTTAGATAGCCTGGAGGAAATTTCCAGTCTGCTAATAGAATTTTGTAAGGAATTTTGTACACTTATGAGGTAATGCATACTGTGTCTGCCCTTATGCATACATATATGCAAATTGAACTATTTGCATTTTCCCCATTATAATTACTAGTTATATTTCTATACAGACTGTATGACAATTTGTAGCACCAAAAAAAAATCACTCTAGGGCATTGAATGAATGTAGGTCTCAGGGAAATTACCTGGAATGGGGCTCTAATATTATAGGGTGCTTTCACTGACATAATTCCTCATATAGTAAATAATATCCTGGTGCATTTGCCATGAGAGTCACTAGAGTTGTTACATTGTAGTTGCTTGTGGAGCTTCTAATGTAATGATGAGTTTCTTTCACATATGCCTTACAGTAAGAGGAGAAATTCTTCAATTTCTTGGTAAATAACTAATTCCAGGACAGTGATGAATTAAGACAAATTGAATTAAGTTGAATAAAGAAACCCCCACTCTAATTGGAGAACTACAAACTTCAAGATGTTTTAAAAATAAAGTATCAACAAGGACGTGATTTTCTTGCAAAAATAACAAGTTGAAGATTCTTTGTGACCTGTTATGCACTCAACTGACATCAGGAATTTATGTGACTCTCATGAATCACTGTTCCATTTGGGGGAACTGACTCTTGTGTCTAAATTCCTAAATGATTTAGATTGTCAGCAGCTCTCCTTAGACACTACAGATTAATCAGTCAACAATCAGAATAGATCACAATGGTTAAGATACCAGAAATTAATAGAAAACTTTAAGCATAATAACTTATGCCTGAAAAGAAGTGTGAATTTCCCTCACTGAGTATGTTTTCTGCAGTGATATCGTATTCTGTAAATTCCTGGTTTAAATCTTTTAGTGTGTTATTTTTGCTGTTACAGTAATGTTCAATTTTGTTGTATAGACGAAAATTGATGTGGCCCCTCTGTAGGGTTTCACTGTTTTGTTTGCATATGCTTCTACTCCACTCCCTTTTCTCTGTCTCTTCGTGTCTGTTCAATCTCACTTTCTTCCCTCCTATCTGTCTTTATCTCCCCCATCTTTTTATCACACAGAACAAGCTGTCGTTCATTAGTCATGATATGGCCTCTCCTGCTATGGTCCTTAAATTTCACTACTACCTTTTCCTGGAGCGTCTTTCAACTGCTCTTGATTTGCCTTGGCTGGCTATCATCTGTTCTTTGTAGAATAAAATGTCATTTCCTTCAGACAGCCTTATGTAAGGCCAAGTTATTTTCCCTTTGCGCATGTTTTTGTTGTTAGTGGTGTGTCCAACCTTTTAAAGTCAATGTGTTTGTCCAGTACATCGAGGATGTCACAACAGATTAACTTGATCTCAGTTTTAACCATTTGCCGGTACTTCCGAATCATCTTTAGTTTGTCCTCTACTCCCTTGTTTTCTTCCGTCTCTTCAATGCTGCTGATTATTCTCCAGGATGCTCTTCTGGCTCCAGTTACATTTTTATATGCAACAGATAAAAGGTTTCATTCTTCAACAATCAGCTCCATATCCATCCCTGCTGCTTTCTTCATTGATTCCACCATTTCGTCATATCGCCAGGCCTGCTCTGCCAGCTTTGCCTGGTACACCAGATCCTCCCAATCATCCATAGCGGGAGCAGCTCCAGCAGGGTATGCACAAAGGATGGAAGCAGATAACTTCAACTCTCAGCTTCTCACTCCGTGTCTGAGCAGTAAAATTGGCGGTGCCTCGTTTATTTAGGTCTTACTTAATTTTTAAACATTAAGAAATGAAAATACAATCACATCCTTTCCTTTCCTGTTTCCTTCCATTCCATATCCTCTCCTCCTAGATGCCTCTCAAATTTATGATCTCTTTCCTTAAATTTCTCTCTCTCTCTCTCTCTCTCTCTCTCTCTCTCTCTCTCTCTCTCTCTCTCACACACACACACACACACACACACACACACACACACACACACACACACACAAATATATGAATACAATTTTCTGAGTCTATTTAATGTTGCTTGTATATGTATATGAATTCAGAGATGACCACTTGGTATTGGTAACGAGTTAAAAGGGTCATCCCTGGGGAAGACTAATTCTTTAGCAGCCTGTGGTCCTTGTTTACTGGTGGAACCTTGTGAGATTTCCCACTTTCAAGTTAGCATATTGAGTGGTATTTTCCTTGTTCAGTTTTTGTTTAGGCAATCATATTGTTGAAATATCATGGGTGAAGCTTCCCTTTGATTTCTGGTTCCTACAATCTTTACTCCTCCTCTTAATGATGCTCCCTGAGCCTTAGGAACAGGAGTTGTTTACTATATATTGGGGCTTGACGCCCCACAATCACTTGTTCTCTGAATTTGAGTGTTTGTGGTTTTCTGCAATGGTCTCTCTCTGTTGCAAAGAGAAGCTTTATTTGGTGAGGGGTGAGAGCTACACTTATTTGTCGTAAGTGGAATTCACTTAGGAATTGTACTGATTTAGTCAAGTGGTAGTACTGCATTCTCCTCTAGGATGCAAGACCTCACTAGCCCCAGCTAAGTGCCTAGCTTTCAAGTACCTGGCATGATTTCCCTGCTGTTGAGTGGGCCTAAGTCTAATTAGAGAGCTGTTGGTGGGGTTTCAGCAGCAGCGGTGGAACGTACGTGTTGGAGAGTTCCGAGGACGAATTTTTAGACAATAACAGATTCTTGAACTGAGCCATGAGTATGGTTGGAAATTGAAAGTGAACAGGAAGGGAAGTACACATTTCTGTTTGCAGAAGTACAGTGGCTTCCACGAGATGAGATGTGGTCTGAAGGATGGTGTGACTACAAGCGACTTCCAGGAAATCAAGCGCAGGGACGGTATGACTGCAAGCGACTTCCAGGACGACAAGCGCCTCATTGGAGCCATCCCAGTGATGACAACCATAGATTAATTAACGTTGTGCCAAAGAGAACGCCTCTGGGAGACAAGAGACCATCTCTGCTAGCCAGACCCGATGAAGGAGGCTACAGTAGATACTATTGTCACGTTGATTACCAAAAATGGGATGAGGGCCGCTGTTTTTCTCAGAATCCAAGAAGTGGCCCACCCTACAAAAGAGGCCCTTATGGCTCCCGATGGTCAAGAGATGAGTATGACACAAGCCGACAGCCTGAATACAGGGCCATAAGAAACGGCTTTAGAAGAAGACGTTTCTATTCTTCCCATTATTCAAGACAACGATCTCCCCATGAACGGGGCGCTCCTTTTTTGAGAGAATCACGTGTGGGCAGGAAGGACTCCCTACCCAGCAGATTTGGCTCCAGTCTCAGCAGGAGAAGCAGGATGCGCTCCTTCCATCAGTCTCGGCTTAGATGTAGAGAGAGAGCCATCCAGTTTTTGAAAACATCAAGAGATACTGTGCCCTCAAGTTCTTCATCCAAGGTGTTAAAAAGCCCGCGCCGGCTGACTGAGAAGGAACAGGCTGATGCTGCAAGCAAGTGGGCTAATGAAAATCCCAAGAAGTCAGAAGAAAATAACTTGGCTGAAATTTCCGAGTTTGAGATGGGATCCAAGGCGCCATTATGTATCAACCAGACAGAAGAACCCGAGTCAAACACAACACCTGGCCCGAAGGGATCCAAGGCACCATTATGTATCAACCAGACAGAAGAACCCGAGTCAAACACAACAGCTGGCCCGAAGGGATCCAAGGCACCATTATGTATCAACCAGACAGAAGAACCCGAGTCAAACACAACAGCTGGCCCAGAACTGTGTGAAGACAACCAGTTTAGCAGTCGTTCAAAAGCGATTGCCTCAAAAATCACAGAGATTGAGAAGGTTTACCGACAAGTCTGTGAAACTTTCGGGATGGTGGTGGAAAGGCTGGTTGAAAAGGATCGTTCGTTAGAAAAACCTATACAGTTTGCAATGAAGCAGAGTTTGCATGAAATAGGTGAGCAACATGTTGAAGAACTCAAGCATTTCATTATGGAGTATGATAATTCTACTCCAGATTTTGGAGGCCCTTTTTAGAAGAATTAGGGCTCAGTTCAAACAAATTTTTAAAGCTTCTAGACTTTTCCCTTTGGAATTTTTAAATCCTTACTATTTTGTGATGAAGAGAAGTACTTTATGATAACTGACCACATTGCTAGTATCAAATAAACATCTACAATAGCTTTTAAAGTCTCCCTATGTTTGCCCTATGTGTAGAATCGTCTAATCTATCTTCATACATCTCCTCCCTCCCAAAAATAATGCTCAATTAATTTTTTAATGTTTGATAAAGCAGTTCTGGAGAGCAGCTCTCTGTACTTTACTCATGATCAATAGTCTTCCATGGTGTGCTGGTCTCCGGGGTATAATTTGTAGTTAGAGATCATTCCAGGTTGCATCATAGGCATTGTTAGCATTTTGAGTTGAGTTTGACTTGCTGCCTGCTTTTTTTCTGCTTTGCAACTTTCCATGGTGTCAAACTATGCTGTCTTAAGGAAGTAGAACTTAGCTATCTTGCAATATTTGCTTTGAGAATAATTCTTCTTTTGTATAGGAAAGAAGCACTTAAAAAATCTCTAAAGGACACATTAAAACAAAACCTTCTTCTCAAGTCATTGAACTTAGTGTGTCTCTTCTATGAAGTGAGGCTCCTAACTGCTCTCTCTGAACAACATTATAGATAAGACTGATAGGACGGGGTAACCTGAGATACAAGATGCATTTTAATTTGAAATTTCTCAGAAAACCTTCTGGTAGTGATAAAAAATTAGACTATACAACAACCTGGAGTTTTGTTTTAGGCCTGTTCTTTATCAAAGAGGGACGTGACAAGGAGCTCATGATTGGGATAAAATGATAGATTTCTTTGTTAATTTCTGTGATCTTAGTTCTGTAGACTTAGAGAATCTCCCTCTTCACAAGTGTTATCATAGAAACAAGGCAGAATAAGGCATCACACCATAGGGAATGGGCTCTAAAAAGGCAGTTCATAAGCTTGGAAACAAGGAGGACCCTAAGAGGGACACATGGATCACCTTGGGAAGGAGAAACAGAGGATATCTACATGAGTAAACTGGGGGAGAGGGGGGCAGTGGGGGAAGGGGATGGGGAGTGAGAACATGGTCAAGCTGGGGCAGTTGGAGTGGGAGAGCAATGAAAGAGATATCTTGATAGTGGGTGTCATTATGGGACTAGGGAGAAACCTGGTGCTAGGGGAATTCCCAGGAATCCACAAGAATGACCCCAGATTAGACTACTAGCAATAGTGGAGAAGGTGCCTGAACTGGCCTACCCTGGTAATCAGATCAGTGAATATCCTGTCATCATAGAGCCTTCATCCAGTAACTGATGGAAGCAGGTACAGAGAACCACAACAAAGCACCAGGCCGAGCTCCAGGAGCCAGTTGAAGAGTGAGAATAAGAATGAGGAAGGCAGGGTCAGGATCATGATGGGGAAATCTACAGAGACAACTGGACCAAGTTCGTGGAAACTCAGGAACTTTAGACCAACAGCTGTGCAGCCCTCATGGGACTATACTACCCTCTGCATGCAGAAGAATCTTCGTTTCTTTGAGGAGACCCTGGCAGTGGGATCAGGATCTATCCCTGGTGCATGATCTGGCTTTCTGGATCCCATTACCTGTGGTGGGACACCTTGTTCACCCTTGACGCATGGTGGAGGAGCTTGGTCCTGACTCAACTGAATGTACCAGGCTTTCCTGTTCCCACATGGAAGGACTAACCCTTTTGGAGGAGGGGATGGGGCATTGCGGGGGAAGGAGGGAGGAGATGGAGGAGGGATGAGAAGGCGATCTGTGGTTGGTATGTAAAATGAATTAAAAAATTAAAAAATGGGGGCTGGAGAGATGGCTCGGAGGTTAAGAGCACTGACTGCTCTTCCAGAGGTCCTGAGTTCAATTCCCAGCACCCACATGGTGGCTCACAGCCATCTGTAATGAGATCTGGTGCCCTCTTCTGGCCTGCAGGCACACATGCAGAAAGAACACTGTATGCATAATAAGTAAATAAATAAATAAAAATATTTAAAAAAAAAATTAAAAAATGAAGCCAGCTCATTTATCTAGGATAAGATCTAGTCTGATTGCCAGGGGATGGGATGAGGAGAACTTGGGGGGAAACGGGAAAAGGGGAGGGAGGAAGAACAGGGGTTGGTATGTAAAATGAATACTAAAACGTATATAAAAATTAAAATAAAAAAAGAAACATGGCAGAAGACAGCCAGGCCAGCAGAGCTCCCCTCACCTTGTAAGTGAGCCGGTGAACAAGCGAAGAGACAATTAGGACATTCCACTCACTTCTTGATCCTTCCCAGCATAGCACTGAGCCACAATACACAATTTGTGACAATAGGTACATTCAAAATCACGGTTTTAATTACAGCCCAATTTCATTATCTCCTTTTTTGAGTCAAGGTTTTACAGTCTGCACCTAGCTAGACTGGAAACCATTGTGTAGACCAGGCTGGCCTCAAAATCACAGAGATCCCCCTGCCTCTGCCACCTGCATGCTGGGATTAAACACATGTGTTACCATCCTCGGTATTTTGTTCTTTACGGCCAAGATGTAAGAGTTGATGATGCATACTTGAAGGCAGAGGTTTTTTCCTTTGGGCCTCCAGCTCACAATTTAAAAAATGACATGGAGCCATATTATTAATTATGAAAAGCTCAGCCTATAGGTTATGCTTGTCCCACATGCTCCTATAACTTAAATTAACCCATTTATATCAATCTATGTTTTGCCCCATGGCTTTTTACATCTCTTCCATCTTGCAACTCCTGTTTTCTTTCCATGTCCCCTGGTGTCTGTCACATGCCTAGATGCATCTCTCTTCCTCAGTTTCTGCCCGGAAGTCCTGTCTAACCTCTTTCCACCTAGCTATTGGCCATTCAGCTCTTTATTAAAGCAATCAGAAGGCGCCTTGGCAAAGACACATCTTCACAGTGTACAAAACAATTATTCCACAATATATACTTGTAGTTGTAACCAACCATCTTATTAAATAAGAAACAGAGCCGATTCAGAGAAGAAAGCCAAGAGGTCAGAACTAAGAGCCTTACCCTTCCTGCTTCAGCAAAGAGAGCTCTCTGAAAGGGACCTACTTCCTGTGTGTATGTCTTTATATAGTCTTTCTGTTCCGCCTTCTCATTGGTTGTAAACCCAAACTCATGACGGCCTGGTCACTGCGTGTCTGTAGAGACTTCCAGGTCTTCCATGGTTGGTATTGAGATTAAAGGCAAGTGTCTCCAATGCTGGCTGTATCCTTTTACACACAGAGATCTACCTAGCTCTGTCTACCAAGTGCTGGGATTAAAGGCGTGTGCCACTACCGCCACGCTCTTGCTGTGGCCCTAATAGCTCTGACCACTGGGCAACTTTCTTTATTAACATACAATTAAAATCACATTTCAGTACAAATAAAATACCACCATACATACTTAGCAATATTTTGCCAAGCTCTTTATTGTGGTACTTTGTTGTCACAACTGGGTAGGTGTATTTGCTGCTTCCTTCCCTTGGCTGCTTGCACAACACCCAGTACTATGAAAACTAGTCCTCAGGGTGCAGAATTTCAGGTCAGATCCAGCTTGGATCCTTCCAGTCCTGTGTCTGAAGCACATGGTAATTTCAGCAAGAGAGACTTACCTCCAACTTCTGTGAGATAGTCAAGGGCAATGTCAATACCCCATATGGTTTTGGGACTCTCAAACTCCCCTTACCAACAACTCAAAAGGGAGTGTTTCCTCCCTGGTACTGGGGATTTTGCTAGACAGTCTATGGCTTTTTGCAGAAACATTGACAGCTCAGCTGGGGAAATTTTCATTTAAAGTACAAATGTATACACACACACACACACACACACACACACACACACACACACACACACACTCATGAACACATACAAGTAATTTTAGATAAATAATCATTGTCTTATTTAGTGTTTCTGTTGCTGTGATGAAGCACCATGACCCAAAAACAAGTTGAGCAGGAAAGTGTTTATTTGGCTTACACTTCCATATCACTGTTCATCATCGAAGGAAGTCAGGACAGGAATCTGGAGGCAGGAGCTGATGCAAAGGCCATGAAGGAATACTTCTTACTAGCTTGCTCCCTGTGGCTTGCTCAGCCTGCTTTCTTATAGAACCCAGGACCACCAGCCCAGGCTTTGCACCACCCACAGTTTTCTGGGCCATACCCACCAATCACTAACTAAGAAAATGCCCTACATGCTTGCCTACAGCCCAATCTTATGGAGGCATTTTCTCAGTTGAGGCTCCCTCCACTCAGATGATGCTAGTTTATGTAAAGTTCACACAAAATTAGCCAGGACAACCACTATGGCTTTTTTCAAGCATCCTTACTGTTATTTCCACCTCTTCCCCAACATCCCCATTTGTATTGCCCACCTTCTCTCCACTCCAATGAAAACCTCCCCTGTTTTCACTATTTCCCCTCACATCATTTGTATATTGTCATTCTCCACTCTAGGGATCCTTCCCACGACCCTCCCCTCTGTGCTACCACTTGACTTTCATACTTTCTGCAGTTACTCCAGGTTTCATATTCACATCTGAAGTTTTGGTGGTAGGAATCACAGAAGAATGAGACCATGTGCCATTTGACTTTCTGTGTCTGGGTTAATTCACTTAATATAATATTTTCTAGTTCCATCCCTTTGCCTCTAGATTTCATTTTCTTTACAGATGAATAGTATTCCACAGTGTATATGTACTGCATTCTCATTACCCATTCATTATTTGAAAGCTATTTGGGTTATTTCCTTTTCGTAGTCTATGTGAATAGAGTGGTAGTGAACAAGACTGAGCAAGTATCTGGGGGAGGATGTCAAGAACTTTGGACACATGCTAAAGAACTTCATAGCTTGCTCATAAGGTATGTGTTTGCCTGCATGTGTGTTCACACTACATGCATGTCATGCCCACGGTGATCTGAAGAAGTGTCAGATCTTCTGGAACTGGAGTTAAAGAATGTTGTGAGCCTCTAAGTAGGTTATGGGAATTGAAGCTTGGTCCTCTGCAAGAGTAAAAATGCTATTAACCACTGAGACACGAGCCATTTGTTATTGAGAGCCGCTGGTAGCAAAAGTCCGTGAGAGCATACAGCAGTGACAACTAGAGTTGAGAAGGTCAACCTATCAGAACTAAGGGTTC